CTTTAGGGACCACGAGTAACCCTGCGTTCTCAGAGCGCAGTGTTCTGGTGGGATAATATGGCACTATGAGCTCTCTAAGATATGACGGAGCTTGACCATTTAGAGCTTTATAAGTTAACAGTAGGATTTTAAATTCAATTCTGGATTTTACAGGGAGCCAGTGCAGAGAAGCTAAAACAGGAGAAATATGATCTTGTTTCTTAGCTCCTGTTAGTACACGTGCCGCTGCATTCTGAATTAGCTGGAGAGTATTTAAAAACTTTCTACAGCTACCTGATAATAGGGAGTTACAGTAATCCAGTGTAGAGGTAACAAAAGCGTGGACCAATTTTTCTGCATCTTTTCAGGTCAGAATAGGCCTAATTTTCGCAATATTACACAGATGAAAAAATGCAGTCTGTGAGGTTTGTTTTAAATGAGAATTAAAAGACAAATCTTGATCAATTATTACTCTGAGGTTTCTTACGGTAGCGCTTTTAAATGGTGCCACATTTGTAAGGAACATGCATTTTTGAGCAGCAGAGCTGAGTATGTGGGTTGCGCCCATGAAAAATTTGCCAAATCTTCACTTTCTTTTTTTTGCTGTTGCTATTGACTCTTGTTTTGAGCTTCTGGTAGGCCTACCCCCAGGTGCTGACAATCAGGTGAGCATGGGCCCTGCTGCCATAATTTTGCTACAAATTTCCTTACTTTTTGTGCTTAGTTTATTACATTATGTGTGTGCAGACACAAACTCCATTAAAACTTTCTATAGCTGTTGATAAAGCCTCCTGACAGCTGATCCAGCTGTAATCAGCTGCCGCCGTCATTAGAAACAGATATTGCTTCACGTGCTGCTTCGGAGGAAAAGACGTCTCATTTCTTTAAAAACACATAGGGTTCATCCCAATATCCCTCCTCGACTCCCCCGTCCTCTATCATCGATCACTTGACCTGGAAATTGATTGAGAATCGCCATCTTGTAGGACGTCTCAATTCGTTAAATGCACTCGTGCATTTGTGGTGCGTTCGTTTTGTACTCAGTGGTCGGAAATTCCCAGTTCCCAGTAGGAAGTTTAAACTCGAACTTGTCCACCGTCGTCAACTAGAATGCAAAAACTGTTGTCAGCTCGGAGGTGACGTCATTCCCACTTCCGATTTCCAACCTCCGAGTACAAAATGAACACACCATTAGTGCTTTCGAGCGCGTTCAGAGGAGAGGGAAGCAAGGATACACGAGTGCAGCCTTCACGGAAGTCTTTTACCGACCAACACACCCCCCTGATTGGATATCAGTTATTGATTGGACAGCACTGCAGCTGATCAGACTGATCTGATACATCACAACGGTTTCATCCCAAAACCAGATTTATTTATTTATATTTTTCAATCAACTTTATTGAATGTAACAACCTTGCAAACGCAACATATGCAACAGACTTTTTTCAAACAGTCCATTACAAACAGATATAAACATTTACCAATGAGAAAGCAGAGAATAGAAAAGGAGAAAATTATATAAATAATATATAGTAAAAAAAGTAAAATAAGTACACAAAAGTAAAAAAAATCAATAAATAAAAATAATTCAAATAAAGACAAACATAGTACAGACATTGATCGTTTTAAGAGCTTTTTTGTTTTACGAATGAGATAGTGTTGCTATGTAATGTTCTATTTCTGATTTAAATACCAAAAAAAGAGGTTTTTGTTTTGAGAATTTACACTTATGAATGTAGAATTTGGCAACAAATAAGATTAGATTTGTGAGAAAGAAAGCATTAATGTCCTTCTTATTATAGTCAATGCAGCCAAAAATGACATTTTGGTAGTATAGAGTAAAATTTGGGAAAATATTATTGATGGCAAATTAATTAATGTCTTTCCATAGTTTATGTGTAAATTCACAAGACCAAAATAAGTGTGAGATGGTTTCCAGGCGCAAACCACAGAAAGAACAGTTCACATCAATGCAAACTTGTGTAAAAGCACTTTTGTTGGGTAAAACCTGTGGAGCAGCTTGAAAGAGACTTCTTTGGTTTTGTTTGTTAAAAGGAACTTCTGTGGTAGGGACCAGATTTTTTCCCAGTCAATGTTAGGGACAGATTTACTCCAGAAAAAGAGAGAGGGGAGGTGGAGACTAGATCGGCCTGAAACAAGGACCTGATTTTAGAGCTGGAGCCTTTATAGGTGGAGAGACAGATTTTACCTAAAGGAAGTTGAATTGGGTCTGGGGGTGACATTATCAAAGGCAAAGATACATCAATTGTTCTGAATAACATACAAAGACCAGAAGGAACAGCATCAAGCAGAACTTTTGGGCTTACTGGAATCTTATACTTTACAAGGAATTCTGAGTAACTGTACAGTTGCCATTCTTTGTTAAAGAGCTGACTGACTAGTACAGTAAAATACCATTGTTGAACCATTTATCATAAAATAATGACTTGTTCTTATAGACAATATTAGAGTTGTTGCAGATATAACATCTCTGTGGAGAGAAGTTATGCTTGTACAGCAGAGCCCATGCCAAAAGAACCTGTTGATGGAAGTTGGAAAGTTTAATTGGGATTTTTTGTATGTTATAGTTGCAGAGCAGAATGAATTTTAGGCCACCTAACTGTGAAAAGACATTATGAGAGATAAAATTCCAGGTGGCAGTAGAGTTTTTGAGATATTGTTTGATCCAGTATATTTTAAATGTATTGTTGAGTGAGCTAAAGTCTATGAAATTTAATCCTCCTTTATTGTATGAGTTTAAAACTACAGATTTCTGAACATAGTGAGTTCTATTTTTCCATAAAAAAATATTAAGCATCTTATCAACAGATTGATCAACATAGGTAAGACGAGAGATGACTTCTGCCTTAGTGATCAGAACTCTGCCTTTTAAAGACAGATCTCTTTGAAGCCACTGGTTAAAAACATTTTTTTCAATGAGAGGAGAAAAGTTTAAATTGGCTCTGGATTTTCTATCCTTAGTAATATGGACACCAAAGTTTGTAACAGAATTTCTTACAGGAATATTACAAAGTGAAGTTGTAGAACAGTTATTCCCTGGCAGCAGTTCACATTTATTGAGGTTAAGGGAGAGACCAGATGCTTTAGAGAAGGATTGAATAGTACTGATCGCAACAGATATTTGAGAAGCATCTTTAAGAAACAGGGCAGTATCATCCGCCAGCTGACTGATTACAATTTCATTGTTTGCAATACTAATGCCTTTAATAGGACTGTTTTTAATGTGTAAATTGAGAAGTTGGGCAGCCAGTAGAAAGAGGTATACAGATAAAGGACACCCTTGCCAGACTCCACGATTTAAAGGGAACAATAGGAGAGGTGCCGCTGCTTAGTTTAATAGAATAGTTTCCATTAGTGTACAAAGTCTGAACCGATTTGCAAAAGAATTGACCAAAACCAAACTTGTTTAGGGTTGACATTATAAAATCATGCTCTAAAGAAACAAAGGCTTTATAAAAGTCTAAAAAAAGAATAAAACTATCACCATGAACTAGCTCAGAGTAGTCTAATATATCTAAGATTAATCTCACATTGTTAGAAATATGTCTATTTCACATAAAGCCAGACTGACTCTCATCAATAATCGTGTCAAGTACAGATTTCAGTCTATTGGCTAGTAATAAAGCGAATATTTTATAGTCATTATTTAGTAAGGAGATAGGGTGCCAATTGTCTAGCAAGAGAGAGTCTTTTTTTGAGCTTGGGGATGAGTGTAATTAAACCCTGATTTAAAGTAGGGGGCAGATGCTTTCAGCAAAAACTTCTTTTAAAAATGGAACCAGGCTTGCTGAAAATTGCTTATAAAAGTCGGCAGTAAAGCCATCTGTTTATTGATTTTTAGTTGATTAAACTATATTGCGAACTGTATTGCACCAAAAAATGCAAATCATTTATCTAAGACTTTACTCGTGCTGTGTAGATGAATCAGATGCACACCATTAATCTACATGCAATCAATCCCTGTTTCCGTCTGTCCATTTTTTGCTGTATTTATTTACTTATTAATTTGTCTGATTGATTCATTTATATTAATGTATTTTTCCTCAGATGTTACCCTGGTATGTCCTCGCATAACGTTATATAATGGCTATTGTATTCTCTTGGCTTTTATTTTGAAAGACCCATATTTATTTGGACTTCCGGGAAGCTCACCTGTCTTACTTTTCTTCACGTTCTTTTCAAGAGGAAAGATGAAAACAGACATTGGAAGAAACCAAAATGAATTTGTTTTTTCTCGTTTTTTCGTTTGTTTGATTCAGACAACAAAAACAGCTCTGTTTAATCATTTGTAGTTTCTTGTTTAAAACGAAGAAATGAAAAACCATGGTATTTCCGTTTTCCAGTTATTTGGTTAAAACGAAATATCAGACTGACAAAAAGTACACGGACTAAATAAAGGTCCGATTTTGGTTTCTTCCAATGCCTGTTTTAATTTTCCTCTTGAAAAGAATGTGAAGAAAAGTAAGACAGGTGACCTTCCCGGAAATCCAAGTAAATATGGGCCTTTCAAAATAAAAGCCAAGAGAATACAATAGCCATTCTATAACATTAACGTTATGCGAGCGCATACCAGGGTAGCATCTGAGGAAAAATACATTAATATAAATTAATCAATCAGACAAATGAATAAGTAAATAAATACACCAAAAAAAAAAATGGCCCGATGGAAACAGGGATTGATTACATGTAGATTAATATTGTGCCTTTGATTCATCTACACAGCATGAGTAAAGTCTTAGATTAATGATTTGCATTTTTTGGTGCAATACAGTTCGCAATATAGTTTAACCAACAATTACCAGCAATTACTGTGTGCCCCCAGCAGCAATCAGTGCAACGAGCCACAGGTGGTGGCGAGCACAGGTGACATTCCTTTTTAAGCAGCAGGAAAGCAGCGTGGAGAGGAAAAAAGAAGGCAGAGGACCTCAGTGAAGGGCCAGATGGCGAGAGGAGACCGCCACCACCACAGGAGAACAACCACACGCCTGAAGCGCAGCCTGTGTCCGTTTGGCCTTGTAACTCCAGCCTGGGCGAATAGCGGGACGCTATTCCCCAGGCAAAACGTGAGTGTTGTTTTGTTTGCATGTGTTGAGCGGCGGACACAGAAGGCCGGCTGCAGGGCCAGGCAGGTGTGGGTCGGAGGAATATTGCTTTTCACAATTGTGCTCTCAATTTTCTGTTTTTGAAAGCATCACCAGTTAAGGTTAAGTATAGATGCGTACCCATGGCTGCAGCAATGATAGTTTTATTTTTTTCACTTTGCTTCAGCTACTTGAAAGTAACAGTCTACCCAAAGAAAAAGATTGTATGTTTCATGCTTGAATAAAAGAGTGCATGCTTGTTCTACATTAACAGCAGAAAATTTGGTGCAAAAGGGACAGTGAAGTGGTCGTTGCTGTCATTGAATCACCTGACAAGACTAGCACTTACCCACTTCGTCAGAGTGAACTCAATTCCCTAGCACCACACAAGTGGCTGCTGGGTGAGGTAAATATTTCTTACATAACAAACATCACCTTTGCATTCATAAATTTTCTGAAGTTACCAGAGAAATCATTTATGGAATAATTTATTTTTCAGACAGTCGAGTGCTACCTCAGAGCCATCCTGAACAAGAATGGTTTGGGCAAAAGAATATACCTCTTAAACCATTACTCAGCTGGGGTAATAGTTTTTGGAGCACGGTCTGACATGAGTAATCACTCTTTGCGCAAGGTAAATATAGTTAATTTTTATAAATGAAAATGTATTAAACTTAAGCATTACCTTAAAAAATGCTTTTGTTTGCTACTACTGTATAAGGTTGACTTTGACAACTATGACGGAGTGATAGGGGCCATCAATGCAGGAAACAACCACTGGAAATTCCTGGTAAGTATTATATAATATACACTCTGCCTCACATTGAATGATAAAGTAATAGTGAAATTGTAATGGCATGTAACTTTTCCTTTAAGTATCTGCACAAGTCGAACGGAAATGCGTACATCATGGGTCCCATGGGTCAGGCTGAGGACAAAGACTCAGGTGATGCTGCATCACGGTTTCGGTAGGGTGTGGTAATTTTAATAGCATATTACTATGTACCACCTGATACCGGACAACTGTATGCACAATTGCATGTTATTTAATTTTGATTTTTTTATTTTACAGCCAAAAATATCAAATTATCTGTATGTACTAATAATTTCAATGCTTCTTTTCTCTCTTTTTAGCAAATTATGACAATATAACAGTAAGGCTAATTTTTTGTTTACATTTTTTTTTTTAACATGACAACCTTCATTTCATCATCTAAAAAGTGACATTTTATGTCTACTCTGTATTTCAATGACAAAACAGATGGCTGAAGATGTGGTGGAGGCTTTTCCTCTTGTCCCCCAGCAAATCCAAATACCCACATTGCAAAAAGGCCTAAAAGATCTCAGGATAAACATGGCAAAGACTATTCTGCAGTGCTCTGGTTTGTTGAATCTTCTTCTTCTTCTTCTTCTTCTTCTTCTTGTTATTGTTATTGTTATTATTATTATTATCATTATCATCATCAGGATCAATGACCTATACTGCATCCAGTCACCATAGATGTTTGAGCTTCATTTTAATGGAGTTGTCATGGGGTCCATGTCTAATACAGTCAGTAGTGTCAACTTCTGTAAAAATGTTTAGACTTACATAGACCTGTATATTGATTTTCATATCCATTACTTACCAACTCTGAAATCAACCATGAGATAGTTTATAAAATTACAATATTTCAGTCTTCAGTGAAAAGGACCACTGCTCTAGTTGTGGCCAGAAGTACTCAAAAGGACAGAGCCAAACCACAAAATGGGTGAGTGTACTTAAAAAAATAATCTATTAAAAAAAGTTGGACATTTAAATGATGCTGAGTAGCAGTGTAAAGCAGCGCCTAAAATGGATACTTTTGGAAAAAAGATCTGATCTTAGGTATTCAATTGTAAATATGATAACATATGATAAGACCATAACGTAATACTGTTGGATATGTGATTTTAAAAATCTATTTCAGGTTGAATGTACCAAATGCAGAAGATGGTACCATCCATGTTGTGTGGCAATGTCTGATGCAGAGTGGGATGAGGAAAACACTGCAGCCTCATCAAAATGGCAGTGTGGTCTCTGTTGATTTCAAAAAGGTATTATGTGTCAGAAAACTTTCAACATTGACATTGAAAATGTATTTTTAAATATATAATCTGTGATGGCCCTTGGCCATTTTGTGTTTTGCTGGCCTCACTGTGCTCCTCCCTTCCCAGGTTCTCCCTGCCTGTCTCCCTCCCACCTCACTGGGGAGAGCCACTCCACCTGTGGCCTCAACTATAAAGGCATGGCCTTTCAAAGATGGCTCTGTCTCTCCCGCCTGGATGGCTGGTTTGGTTTGGTGTGGTGTGGTTTGGTTTTGTTTGGTTCTGTTGGCTCTTTTGAAATTCCAGAGAGATATTTCAAAGTAAAAGTGAGAAATATTCATAAATTATGTTCAATGAATACTAATTGTTTCTGGGATGATTTCACATGATTTTCTGGGAGACAATGGTTGTGAAAGATCAATACCGAGCTTACAAACAGATGCCAAGTTGAATGGTGTTTGTAGGTTGAAATTCCACAGAGGTATTTCAAAACAAAGGTGAGAAATATTCAGAAAATATGCTCAATAAATACTAATTGTTTCTGGGATGATTTCACATGATATTCTGGGAGATAATGGCTGTGAAAGATCCATACCAACCTTACAGATGACAAGTAGGATCATGTTTGTAGGTTGAAATTCCAGAGAGGTATTTCAAAACAAATGTGAGAAATATTCAGAAAATATGTTCAATGAATACTAATTGTTTCTGGGATGATTTCACATGATTTTCTGGGAGACAATGGTTGTGAAAGATCAATACCGAGCTTACAAACAGATGCCAAGTTGAATGGTGTTTGTAGGTTGAAATTCCTGTGAGCTATTTCAAAATAAAAGGGAGAAATATTCAGAAAATATGCTCAATGAATACTAATTGTTTTGGAGATATCCAAGGAACCTACTGTCCAAATACTGTTTTGATTCATGAGTTATTAGCCAAAAGATAAAATGCTTAATATCAGACCATATGGTGGCACGATTGAGTGAATGAAAAATAACCTCCTGTGAGACTCTTAGCTTTCTGGTAATGACAGTATTTGTGTGTTGTCATTATTGTTTTGGTTATCTGGACTGAAAAATCAGAGATTGCAATTATACGACGGTCCCTAAACACTCCGGCTGCCACACGGTACTCCGAAGGACATTCAGCGTTGTTCCTTGAGTTTTCACCACAACCACTGAGGTTGGTGAGTCGATGAGACCTGTGAAATGTCTGGCTTACTTATCTCTACAAAATAATACCAACCTGGATGAAATTGGTGCAGTTTTCATGACGCTATTGAGGTTAGAAACAGAAAAAAACAAGTGAATGTCGAATATAAAACCAATTTAACTTCGCTGGCGCGGCAGTCACTTTCACGCCCTGCGCCCTCGTCGCCTAACTAGCAAATGATCTTGCGCTTCTCTGGAGCCGTTTCTCAATACTCAAGTTCGGCAATTCGGACTTGTGGACTTGGCAAGTTCGGACTTGGTAAGTCCACGCGAGAGTCCGGACTTTCCGAGTACGGGAGTACAGTCATTTCTGCTTTTGGAACAGCAGCGAACTTGATGATGTCACCACCTCCGCTCGCCTTGGCTGTTGTACTGTGTTGTATACATGCATTTAGAATAAAACAATATAAACACAGCCCAGCCCTGCGTCTTTTCATTGTCATTGTAAGAAATTAACGTTTCAACATATATAACTGACTCACAAAAATATATAAATAGCCAAAATATTTTCATAAAATGTATTTTAAAACCTTTTCCCCTCAGCTGGCTTCTGATTATAATCAAAAGTCAGGTGCGGGGGGGAATGTTTGTGGAGAGTTGGTGGTTATTGTGATCGTGAGCATTGGCGAGTTGGAAATCAAAAATCAATAACGGACATGGATCGGAGAAGGCGTCTTGGCGCAGTTATTGCAGCAGGATTACTGTACCTGCAGGCTGAGGAGGAGGCTGCCCAGCTGAGGAGGCAGATCCGAGAATGACAGCGGAGAATGAGGCGGAGGATGAGGATGAGACGTGCGATGCGTTGCATGTCTGTTCGATATGTTTGTCCAGTTGTGGACAAAGTACCCAGGAATATCACAACAAAGAACAAAACTCAGTCACAAGTTAAAGTGTTGCATACCAAAACTGACTTGAGTAAAAGTATATGGGTATTGTCAGCAAAATGTAGGACTACTTAAAATTAAAAGTTCAAAGTACTCATTATGCATAGTGACCCAATTTCAAGTGTTGTGTTCATCATATGCGAATATGTATTGAGTATTAATTGATCAGTGTAGGCTACATGTGAGCAGCATTTAAATGTTGTCATGGTAAAACTAATTTTAACACCTTTCACTGGTATACTAGTCTAATCTATAACAACACACAGCAACTTGTAAATATATCAAATATATCAAATTTGTACTTAAGTACAGTAGCTACTTGAGTAAATATACTTAGTTACTGTCCATCACTGCATTTGTCTCATCATTATGCTTTCTGTCTACATTTTTATGTAGACTTGACTTGGAAACTTGGTAAACCTAGAAAAAAACAAAAGTAGTTTAATATTGTATTAAGTCTAACATTTTATTGAAGTGTTGAGTTGTAGATTGTGGTGCTGTTGAACTGGATTACACTGACAGCAGTTTCTCATTTAGTCTATCCTCACCAATATAAATGGGATCAAACAGGTCAGATGTTAAGAGGACATCAGGTATACAATTCATATCAGATAATCAATATTTAAAATGCTGTTGAATAAATACTACAAGAAAGACAATTAATCTTTAAATACAATAAATAAATTACAATAAATTCTTAAAATCATTATTGAATGGTAAAAACACATGGTAAAATTATTGAATGGTAAAAACACATAGGCCTAAATAAGCAAAAGAATGCAAAAAACAATAACATGTTACAACATTTATTAATATAAGAATATATCTTATACTGAGACTGAAAATTGCCCATTAGACATTCCCCAAACGAATTACATTTCATATTTAACCACTACAGAGATATCAGCGACGAATTTAAAAGGACTACCCGAGAGAGACTGCTCTCGGTGGGGTAGCCTGAGCGCTCATACACACGTTTATTATCTATGAGCGCTGTCACCGCTAGATGACAGTGGTGTCAGCGCTCATAAACACATGAGTGCTGACACCACTGTCATCTAGTGGACCTCAGTCACATTCAAGTGGGCTCTATATTAAAACAACGACCACGGGTCTGACGTTTAAACTACGCATGAAAACACTAGGCTACGTTCTGTGACAAAACAACAGTAACATATCGGTATGGCTTACAATTGTGCGCCTTTCCCTCACATTTTCCAATGATTGTTGCGAAATGCATGCTGGGATACCTGTCTGTCTGAAGTCGATGCATCCCCGGTGAAATGGGCGTGGCGAGAACACATCCGGGAATTTGGACTGAACTTGGCCAGATGTGAACTTTGAATTGGAACAGTACTTGGGCTGGACTGATGACTTGTCACAAGTCCACAAGAACACAAGTCCGCACAAGAACGTATATTGAGAAACAGCTTGGGTGTGTTGGTCTAAAAATGAGGAGTGGTCAGGCACAGTCATGGCGCGTTGCTAGTTAGATGACGTAAAAAGCAAATGCGCCAGTGACCAACAAAAACCTGGCCTGCGTTCCAAATTGCATACTTCTACTATATACTTCTAGTATGTACTGCAGTATGGGGTGCCGTTTGTAAAGTGGCTCACGCTGAAAATAACAAACATTTTGCCACATTTAGCTTCAAACAATGTTTAAAAAAGTGTTGTGAATTTTTTAACATCACCTTTTACCTAATTTACAGCAATATTTGTTAACTTAGAAATATATTAAATAGTTAAATCTA